GATAGGGGCTCACTGTGTAGTTCAGACTGACCTTGAACTCCCTATGTTGGCAAGGCTGGCCTCCAAGTAGCAGCGATCCTCCTGCCTCAGCCACCTAAGTGCTGGGATTACAGGCGTGCACCACCCCGCCTGGCTATGGTGATCCTTTCAAAAAAGGAAAGGAAAAACACTAATCAGACAAAAAGGTGTCACTATGGCCTCCTACCTCATTAGGCAACTTCTTATTTTTTGATTTTTCTGTCATAGGCAACTTTAATTCATCCATATACCTGAATGTAGAAAATATTTTCTAGAAAATAAATCGGTGTCATCTCAAATTTAGCACTGCAGACACAACCTATTTGGTTTGGGAATTTTATTCTGAGAAATAACTTCAGGGTTTGTCAGTGTACGGCTTAAAATGTGGAATTTGTTGCTCTGGCCTCTCCGTTTTACTCTACGGTTGAGTTCAAAGAACACAGACACCCCCAGTGCTGTCTGTACCGCTCCAGGACTAAACGCTTTAACTTTCTCTGTTGCCCTTATTTATGCAAATGTACCTTACTCCTAAATGCATCGATTAGTGTTTCACTTCCTCTCCTTCTCATTTCCCCTCTGGTAAATACATTAAAAATGATAGAATGTGTGGAGGGTCCTTAGGAGAAACAGAGGCGCTAGGTAACTCACATAAATAGAAAAATTGATTCTGAAATAATAGAATATTCAAATATTTTGATACAGTACGCCTCCCATGAGGCAGAAACGTTATCAATAAATCCATACAATTCTAAACATTCTTATGAGAAGGCCAGCATTCCATCAAACATCTTACATTTCCAAATTCCCGGATGTTGGCCATTACGCAGGCGCAAGGCACACAGGAGAAGCTTGTCTTTCCTCTTATTATTTGTGTGGTCTGGAATTTTGTAGCTCTAGTCATTGACTGTGAGGCAATTTTTATTTGTTTTCTCTGTTCCTCTTCAGAGAAAACAAAAATCTTATTTTTCCAAGCAATTAAAACTCTTACGCTTCAGCTAAGATGAAAGAATTAGGAGTTCTGTCTCCTCGTGTATAATTGTATGTTTCATCCTTCTTGTTTTAATGATTGACAGAAAACTGATAAACTGAGACATCTGTGAATTAGGGTTGGGTGTACTCTCTTGGTGGCCCTTCTGCTAATTTGTTTCACTATTTTGCAGAATTTCTTGCTCTGTAATGGAAAGGTTTATTAAATATGAGGGGTGCAAAGCTTTCTGAATACTAATGAACTTATTTGCCAAAATTTAAATGTTCTTCTTGTCAGTGAATGCCTGACTTACTTAACAGGATCCAAATTGAATAATGAAGAAAATTAGACTCTATCGTACCCTCAGGAGAAATTGTGTGTGAACTGTAATAGAATGCTGAGAGGGAAAAGGGTCATATTTTAGGGGAAAAAAAGAGTATATAATTTGGACTACTTAAAAAAAGGATAAACTCAGGGAAACTCAATTCTTTTCCAAGGAATATACAGTCACTCAAGCAGCAAGACTTATTGCTGCCACAGCATCCTACACCTTTGGCCAGCTTAGAAAGTCCTAGTAATATAGAAGCAGGAGCTATAGGGTTCTGTGGTTACAGTTTACCAGCCTTATTCCTGTATGTATGTCTGTGATGGAAAGGGAAAAATCAATCTCCTTGAAAAATGAGCACTGTTCTCCAGGGAAGTTCAGTAGGAAAGATGGTTAGAGTTTGGGAAATTACTACAGTTCTTTCTTTAAGTGTAGTACACTGTGACTTTTCGCAGGTCAGTGTGCTTCTTTCTAGTGCCTCAGTGTTACTACTAACGGAGTAGATGACCATGATGCCTTTCGCTTGCCAGTGCCCAAGGGTCCTGGGGGAGCTAGACAGCTTCCCTCTGGGCCTGGACGGGCCAGAGAACACAGGCAGCCATACCAAGACACGATCAAAGTCTGAAACAGTGTCTGCAGGAGCAAAATACAGTGACAGAAGGGATACGAGGGAGAAAGTAAAGCTGACACCACTAATATGGGAATTTTTAAGCTGGAAACAGGGAAACCTGCGCTGTGAAAGGATGAGGCGAGGAAGGTTTCTAAGGCAAAGAAAACAATGGGAAGGATGATTATCTCCAATGCTGGTTAAAATCAACTCTCCTGACATTGCAGGGACAGCAAAGAAGTTAAGGCAAAAAGGGAAAGGGCTTCAAAGCCTGTAAAGTTTGCAAAACAAAACACAACAATTTAAAAGCTAAGCTTATACTCTTCTGTGAAAAGAATCTGCGCAAGAACAGAAAGTTCGGTGACACTGTGATTTATACTGAAGGGTTTACTTTCAATCCCTGTGTGAAAGGATTTATAGACATAGACTCATAAGACACGTTTAAATGTGTCTTTTGAAGATAATACCAAGGAGACAAACGAGGGTCAACACATCTCAGGTTAACACCAATGAATTGTCAATATTTCATTTCAAAGTAAATTTTCTTTATACCCAATTAAAGAAAAAAGGAAACTCAGTGTATTCGCTTGCTTCTGTGGGAAGACTTGGGAATTATAAACCCAGACTTTCCCCTTGGAATGGTGATCAATTTTGAAAATTATGTAAATAAACAGAGATATAGATTCCTCTCAAGCATTTCAAATCATAACCAGAACCTTTGGAAACAAAGAAGTTAGGAAGCAGGAAAGCAAGGAAGCAAGATGACAGCAGAGGGGGAAATTCTATAAAGTGAGTAAGACTCCACAGTTTGTGAGAAAATGAAATGAACAACAGGGTTTGGAGGATCAGTGTAAAATAAGGAATGTGAGATAATAAGATATTTTAAAAATGAAATTACTTGAGAAAGCGAGGATAAATGATGAATTACAGGGGAGATGATTTAGGGAGTTGGAAAAGCAGAAAAGGGGGAAGGTAATTGGGGTGGGGAACAAAATGCAAAGTGGTGACTATCAAAAAGCAAATTTGAACTCTGGATGGCATAGCCCCCAACCTTTGGAGAATGCGCATAACTTAGGGAGGAAGGAGGAAAAGATGAAAAGAATTCATGCTTAACATGAAATCATAAGGACAATAGGCGAAGCAATAAGTGTCATTAGTCTTCAGGAATGAAAGCGTTTCTAGAGAAACATATTAGTCTATGTTCTCCATTTATGAGCAGAATAGTCTTCATCTACCTTTACAAAAGGTTGATTTATAAAATGAATGCTATTAAAGGAAGAAAATCTTAAGCATTATCAGGGAGGTGGAAGGAAAGATTGCACCTAGAACAACCGAGATGGGGGTATCTGAGCAAACCTGTTCACAGCGTTTCATGTAAAATTTTGAAATTCAGCATCTTAGGAAAGCACCAGAGATAATTTACCCAAATAGAACGTGGACCGTCACAACGGGGGAGGTTTTTGCTGTTGTAAATATTGTAGAAATCTATTCTTCCACAACGATTTTTCTCCCACAAAAATGAGGGAGATTGAGTAAAAAGCTTCTGGATTTTGCATTAAGCACTTGGATGAGAGGATTTATAGCAAGGTAAACTTACTCCTAGTAACAGAAATAACATTAAATTTTCAAAAAAATGTTAATATGTGGAGCGGATCTAAATGCTTGTGAATATCCTTTTCCCTTACTTGTGTGATAGGGGATTCTTTCTACCAGGCAGTTTCAGACCCCCTTTGGCGGGAAGCTGATAAAGT